GGAAATGTCTGCTCCAGTTATCGATGGGAACGAAGCAGCAGCTGGACACATCATATCAACTACAATCGGAGGCAAAAATGGAGAACCAAAGCAGGTACACATACACCCCCTTTTTCTAAAGCCCAAGGGTAGTTTGGTAATTTTACTTACACCTCTCTCAATAATAAGCTTTTTACAACAAATTATTACGAATTTGACTTTATGCAGACTGTTAGTTACATGGCGGAGCGCGTCGTAGGGACCGGATCATTCGGAACCGTTTTCCAGGTATCCATTTCTTTTAATAAAACAAAATTAAAAAAAAAAATCCAAGGTCAAATTTGTAAAAGAGTTAGAACTTAATTAGGAAAACCTCATTTCCTAGACTTTCTCGATCGGTCAGATTCAGACTGTTTGATACCATACACACACACAGACTTCGAAGGCTTTGACTCGATCAGATCTGACTCAATCAGCAACTATCAAACAGTCTCGAAGTCATTATTTTTGTATAACTTTTTGTTTTTTACTTTTTTTTAAGGCAAAATGCATAGAAAGTGGAGAAACGGTTGCGATAAAAAAAGTATTGCAAGACAAAAGATACAAGAATCGTGAGTTGCAATTAATGCGAGCAATGGAGCATCCTAATCTTGTTACATTAAAGCATTGTTTCTATTCGACTACAAGCAGAGAAGAGCTTTTTTTAAACCTTGTTATGGAATATGTCCCCGAGACAATTTCTAGGGTTTTAAAGCATTATAATGATCTACGCCAAAATATGCCTCTTGTTTATGTGAAACTTTATACGTATCAAGTGAGTTTGTTTATTTAGGGGTTGTTTTCGTTACTTTTTTGTTTTGCGGGGACTGATAGTGAATGTTTAAACTTTTTTAGATATTTAGGGGGCTTGCGTACATGCATACGGTTGCGGGAGTTTGCCATCGGGACTTGAAACCTCAAAATGTTTTGGTGTGTGAATTTGTCTTTGTGAAAGTTTTTTTTTTTTGGTTTTATTTTTATTTAATGTTGTAGGGTTAATTTTGTTAAAAAATTTCAGGTTGATCCTTTTACTCATCAAGTCAAGATTTGTGATTTCGGAAGTGCAAAAATGCTTGTACGTTCCAATTGCCCTTCGATTCACTTATGAAATGTTGAAATGACCATTATGCCCTTTATTAGTATGTTGCTATTTCTTAGTGTTTCTTAGTTTGACAATATATTTAATTTAACCATGGTTAGGTGAGGGGAGAAGCAAATATTTCATACATTTGCTCACGTTTCTATCGAGCACCAGAACTGATTTTTGGTGCTACTGAATACACAACCTCCATTGATATTTGGTCAGCTGGTTGCATTCTTGCTGAACTCCTTCTCGGACAGGTTTACATTTTAAAAAAAAAAAAAATAACAAATCTTATAGCATTTGACATTTGAAAATTAAAAAAAAAAACATTATTGTACATCTTCACGTATTAATTTTGACATTTTTTGCGTTTGCAGCCTCTATTTCCAGGAGAAAATGCTGTTGACCAACTTGTAGAGATCATCAAGGTGTGATTTTATTTCTATTGACTTAAAAATTGAAAGTGTTATTTAATAGTTTTTTAAGGTTTATATATAAATAATTTATTAGGTTTTGGGTACACCAACTCGAGAAGAAATCAGATGCATGAATCCAAACTACAACGATTTTCGGTTTCCTCAAATAAAAGCTCACCCATGGCACAAGGTATATGATTTTATTTATTTCTTTTTTTTTTTACCTTTTTGGTGTTCATCTTTCTAAAAAAAGTAAATTTTTTTTAAGGTTTTCCATAAACGGATGCCTCCAGAAGCAATTGACCTCGCATCTCGCCTCCTACAGTACTCCCCAAGTCTTCGCTGCAATGCCGTAAGTTCCTTTACTCTCATATATATATATATATATATATATATATATATATATATATATATATATATAATGTTATATGTATGATTTTATGGGCAGCTTGAAGCCATGGCACATCCATTCTTTGATGAGATAAGACAGCCGAATGCTCACTTACCAAATGGTCGACCATTGCCTCCTCTTTTTAACTTCAAACAAGAGGTAATTAATATTAATCAACTCTTTGGATAAATGATGTTAAATAAATATTTTGAGAAAAAAAAATGACACTACAATTGGAAAAATGGAAATTAAAATCAAACTAGGGCAAGTTTGTGAAAAGGTAGGACTTAATGAGCAAAATCCTTCTTTCCTTGACAATCTATTCTTTCTATATTTAGCTTATGAGTAAGCTAAATACGGGTGTTTTGTTTTCTATATTTATTTAATTTAAAGTTTTAACATCTAAATTTGTGTTTGTATGGTGGATTTAGTAACTGGTATTTTGATGGTTTAGTTGTCAGGAGCATCTGTAGAGCTTGTCAACAGGTTGATTCCTGAACATGTGAGGAGGCAAATGAGTTTACAATTTCCACAGCCTTCAGGGTAAACTGATCATCAATTCATATCATGAGAAAATCGGATTTCAGGATTTGTGAAAATGGGCGTAAATGTCTTTTTACAAAAGGGTAAACTTTGAAAGCCCAAAGAACCAAAGTTTATATAGCTAGAAATACATGGAGGCAAGAAGTGAAAGGTGTTGAGTTTTGGTTGTTTCTTGCTTGCCATTATTGGGAGGCATTATACCCCACTCATTTTGTAGGCATACAATAACAATACTGCTATCACTATGTTTTTTTTTTTTTTTTTTTTTTTTTTTTCTTTAAACTTGTTATGTAAATACCTTTAGAAACTGTAGGTGTTGTTTGTTTTCAATTTAAGCGACTTAATGAAATCAGGTAAACTATATATGAGTGTTTCTTTTTCTATTTAGGCTAAAAGGAATGGGTTTGTTTTTCAAGCGTAAGGTGAGTTGATAAGTTGTGACTTGTGAGCAATGGAAATGTGACGATTGTCAAATAGATGGTTGAAATATGAAATTATAATCCTATAAAAATCGTGATTTGGTTAAGGTTGTGTTTGTAGTATAGGAACTAGGACATAGTATACTTAAATAAACAACTGGTTTTTAGAATTGCTTTATATCAAAGTCGAAGTTAAGAGGGATTACCTTGGAGGAAAACTCTGATTTATTTTATGACATGAGTTTTATTTTGATATAAACATTTTATAAAGGATTTCAGAACATTAGTTATTTTTATATATCTTTTTAACATATAACAAAGGGGATCCTATAAGAGAACTTTTCTCTTATAGAACAATGTTGCATTTTAAACATAACTAAAAACCAAGAGGGGGAAGCTGACCCCACTTGATGTCTTACCGGACCATGTAAAATAATTCAAATATAATATTAAATTTATTTAGATTTTGTTTTAAACGCTTTTGAAAAAAATCTACCAAAATTAAACAAAGACGATTGTCAAACATTGGAAAAGTCATTATTATGTCCCTTTTTCTTTTTAACACCCTCCCCACCATGTTGAGACGTGAGAAAAAAATAAAAAGACCTTATGTAGCTATAGAAATGAATAGCATCAAAATCTCTTAAAAAAATACGTCTTAAAATGTGAGGTATATTGTTCACATCTCACGCAACCATCTCTTTCCACATTAGCTTTCACGCCACCACAAAGAAGAGGGAATGGTGGATAGAGGTGCCAAATAAGAGAGAGAGAGAGAGAGAGAGAGAGAGAGAGAGAGAGAGAGAGAGGTGGTCATTTGTGGCCTAGCAATAACCCTCCACATCACTTTCAACGTCACCTCACACTCTACCTCACAACCATGCATCCGGTTTTCCATGTATACCCCATAGCCTTATTTCGCAGGATTGTTTCATTACATTGATTTGAGATTTGAATGATAAATATTTTAATTATTACGTGCTAGTAGCTAATTTTTTGAAAAGATAAAATTACAGTTTTGGTCTTTAAAGTACACACGAATTTGCTGGTTTAGTCATAGTATTAGAAATTTGATACCAATGGTTCTTATGGTTGACAAATTAATCATGTTTGCTCCCTTTCCCAATGTTTTTCTACTAAATGTGTATGAAATGACTAACATGCCATTGTTTTTGTCTTTTTATTTTTCTTGTTTTTAGAATTATTATCAGAGTAAATTACGGTATACCACCAACACCACTGTGTACCATCCACACCACCGTCTCTGACCACCCTATAACACCACCTCCTCCATTATTTTCCCCACCACGATCAATTTTCACCATCAATATCATTTTTTGCCATCATCACCACTGTGTACAACCAACACCATTATTTTCACTACCATTTTCGGATTATATCACCACTTACAACTAAAAAAATTAGATTAAGTTCCTAAAATTGAATAGGACCAAAACCCTAAATATTTAAATTAAAATCCAAACCTAAAAAGAATCATCAAACAATGTTTTCTCTCTTCTGAAGATGAAGACGTTGTTTATTTTGTTTGTATGTACAAAGGGGAAGGAAAGAAAAATGACTGATCCAAAGAGACAATTGCCTCTTTCTTATTTTATAAGCATCACCATTGCCATGTTAACCAGTAAACCTTCTAATTAGATGAATTCCCTTATTTATTAGTTTATTATTATTATTATTATTATTATTATTATTTAGAGTTTACACATTTGAAATGCACAAAAATAACATTAGGTACCATTTAAAACAAAATGCAATAGTTTGTTTTCTAATAATGACATTATCTTTAACATTTAGTCACTATTTTCCAAATAATTCATTAATCAACATAACCTGCGATACCTTATTATAATAGTCATTTATAAACTATTGAAAAAAAAATTAATTGCAAACTGTATATAAAAATACTTATTACTAAAAATATACATAAAATAAAGTAGGCTACCTTAGGGTGGCCACATATTTTTGGTGTTGTAAATAATTAAATAAACTTTTGTTATTGGATCTCTAGATTCTTTCTACTTTATTTAGATATTAATAAAAAATAAATATTTTTTACAAGATAAAACAGAAATCTGCAAATCAGTGTCAGCAAGAATACAGCCCTGATAGTCAACTAATCGGTAATTTGTCACTTGACTGTATGCAGATGCCAGATGGACAAGGGAACCATCTGTGTCATTTTCCAAATCTCAATCTTCTCCATTTTTTCTATTAAACTTTGAAAATTGATTCCCCCAATTTTCCATACATCACTCCCAATGCTCATAACCTCTCATTAATTTATTCATTTCAATACTATCAACATTAGAAACCACCTGCAACAAGTTAAAATTTTATCATTTTAGTTACTCGAGGAGCTTCGATTCCAACAAGATTAAACAAAAAACACAACATTTTGTCTTCAGAACTGTAGAAACCAACCTCATTCCAATTTTAACTCAAGTGTCCCTTTATTTTAGGTTTTTTTGCAAGAAATCTTTCTAGGTATCGCGTGTTTGCAGTGAAAGATCTAAAGGGCCTTGTTTTTTGGGGAAAATTTTATGCGGGTTTTGTCGGAATCAATCGTAGTTAACAGAATGAAGTTTGTCATTATGCTGGTGGTTTTGTTTAGGGTTTCTATTTCAATGGTGGGTGCTTCGGATAGCCTTCTTTCTCCAAAGGGCGTCAACTATGAAGGTAAACCTTTTAGTACATTGCAGAAAGAAAAGATTAAACTTTTGTTGAAAAAAATGTGGTTTTCTGATTCGATTAACCTTATTTATGAAATGTTTATTTGATAGTGGCTGCATTGATGTCTATGAAGAATAAAATGATCGATGAATATCATGTTCTTGATGGATGGGACATCAATTCTGTCGATCCTTGTACTTGGAACATGGTCGCTTGTTCTTCTGAGGGTTTTGTAATTTCTCTGTTAGTATATAAGTTTCCCACTTTTTAACCTTAATCTTTATTTAATCTAAAGCATTCCCTTTGTTACAACTTTTAAGTCAAATCTAGCTTCCATTATCAATTCTTTTGAATTGGCAACCATTTATTTAGGCTTTTTAGTGCAAGAAGACCATTATTTCAACCCAAAAAGAAGAGACCCCATTATGATGTTTTGTCCAAATTCACTTATTTGTCTTTTTATTTTAATTTTCTCCGAACTCTTGAACACAAATTTATCCAAACACTTTACTTCCTCTAAATTGTCAAAACAAAAAAAAAGTCCATTTTTGGCATGTGTCATGGTTCATTATTATTATATTGAATATCGATTTTAAAGTTTGAATGTCGCCTTTTGAATCCCAACTATTCAAAAATTGACTCCAAATTTGAAACAAAGGGAACACATTTATATTTTATGTAAGTTAACTTTTTTTTTTTTAATATGTTTTCTGCTAATGCTTTGTAGTGAAATGGCTAGTACTGGATTGGGGGGAACAATATCACCAAATATTGGGAATTTGGCACATCTTCATACATTGTGAGTTTATTAGAAAATCTTTCATGTCTTTTATTTATATCAGGATATTTTCATTTTAATAGGCTATCTATGTTTTGATCATGTTTGTAAAATCTCATTCAAGAGATATCCATATACAACACATGTTATAGTTATAGTTTTAGCATCCGAATTTTGATAATACTCTATACCATGAAAAGTGTTAGATACTTAGATTTCCTTTTGGGGGAAAAAGTTCAAGGTGCAATTACCTATTTGCCCATTTTCCGTTATTACTATCTATTTGTGTTTTTGTTTGTGATCCAAAAGATTCCTTTATTTTGTCATTGTTTGACAAATGAATTTTTATATAGGTTACTACAAAACAATGCATTATCTGGTTCAATTCCAGCTGAAATTGGAAAACTTAGAGAATTAGAAACTCTTGATTTATCAAGTAATGAGTTTGTAGGCGAAATCCCAAGTTCATTGGGATCCTTGACTCGTTTAAGTTATCTGTAAGTTTTTAACAAGTTTCAACTCATTGTTTTCTCATTTTTAAAAAATATATTTCAACCTTTGATTATTATATCTCATATAATAATTTGATTTTATATGTTTTCAGGAGGCTCAACAAAAACAAGTTGTCAGGGGATATTCCTGGACCTGTGGCAAACCTCACAGGTCTTTCATTCTTGTATGTCATTCATCATTTGCCTTTCTTTTGTTTGATTTGACATTTGAAAGAAGGGTAAAACCGTAAAATGCAACATATAGCTATGTACTTTCATTTCCTTTTTATTACAACTTTGTAGTTCTGGTTGTTTTTTTTTTCTTATTAAGGAATTGTACTAGGAAAAAATGAAAGTAGTGAAAATTGTTATGTATTTAAAATACAATGTTGTAATAGGAAAAAATGAAAGTAGGAAGATATTATAAAGAGATGAATGGAAGTAATGAAAAAATTAACATTATGAATAATTTGGAACTTTTTTTGAAGCAGGAATTAAATCACTAAATTCTAATAATTTGTTTTCAGGGATGTGTCATTCAATAATCTCAGTGGTGCTTCTCCAAAAATAAGAGCTAAAGACTACAAGTAAGGTTTTTTACTTTTTATTGGAAATTGGAAATATATAAAGCGTAATGTACTTTCACCATTTTATCGATTTATCCATTGAACTATTGTTTTATTAATGGTTATTACAATAACAATTTAGTGTCTAAATTGATAAAAAAGTATTAGTTTAGTGGCTAAATGAATACAATTGTGAACGTAAATTATTTTGCAATTGTAAATTTTTTGAAAGAGTTACGAAAACTTCCAATGATTTTCTCATAATAAAGATTAGAAATATAGTCTTTATGAAATTCGTTAATAAGTAATTGAACATATGATTCGTGTTACTTTTAAAATTTTGCATGCATAACGTTTTTGGCACAAATATTTAATATGAATAATTGGTAATGCAGGATTACAGGGAACAATTATCTTTGCACTTCATCCTCATTAAATTGTATCAATGTCCCCAAAGTGGCTAATGGTAACTTTTTCTATTTTTCTTTTTCTTCCCATTAAGTGTTTTCTAGATAATGATTTTTAAAATATATCCAAGCATATGACAAACTACTTTTATTAATTTGTTATTTCTACATTAAGTCAAAAAAAGATACACCAATATAATGTTTTGTAGTTTTGTGATTGTTGATATGGTTTTTTCTTTAATCATTTATATGATCTATGTCTTATATATATACCAATAATTTTTTTGTTTCACTTTCTTAGAAGCTAATTCAAACAAGAAAATAAACAACAAGCACCATTGGATTGTGTCTGTTATGGTGGGAGTTAGTTGCACATTTGTGATTTCTATTATGCTTCTTGTTTGTGGGGTCCACTGGTATCGATCTCGCCTTATATGTACATCTTATGGTATATTTTTTTTCTACAAACAATTCGTCTTTCCTTAATGATCCATTTATAATTTATTTGTGTATTGTGGCATCCTAATTTCATTCTTCTATTTCTTATCAAGGCATTTTACTTTTAAAGCTTCAATAAGAAGAAATGAAAGCATGATGCTATAATATTAATAAGAGTAAATTACACAAATGGTTCCTATAGTTTGGGGTAATTTGCGCACTTGGTCCCTAACTTATTTTTTTTTAACTCAGAAGATCTGTATAATTTGTTTTTGTTACGTTCTTGGTCCAAATTGGTTTGTTTTTGTTATGCGATTGGTCTTTGTCCTACCTAAAAAGACTATTATTTAAATAGATCCCTATAGTTTGTTATGCACTTGGTCCCTAACTTATTTTTTTAACTCAGAAGGCCCCTATAGTTTGTTTTTGTTACGTTCTTGGTCCTAACTGTTTGTTTTTGTTATGTATTTGGTCCGTGTCTTACCTAAAAGACTATTATTTAAATAGGGAAAATGGTAGGATAGGTAAGGTAAGGTAAGGTGATGGGGTTGGGGTTGGGGTCTGTTTATTTAAATAAATTAAAAAATCAAGGGTAAAATAGTCTTTTTAGGTAAGATAGGGACTAAACGTTTAACAAAAACAAACAGTAGAGACCTTCCAAGTTAAAAATATAAGTTAGGGACCAAGAGCATACATTACCTTAAACCATAGGGACCATTTGTGTAATTTACTCTATTCATAAACAAATCAATGAAACTATATGTTGGGATTTCTTGAATTTTGATTTTTAACATAATACTAACAAATCAAACATTTGCAGTGCAACAAGATTATGAATTTAATGTGGGGCATTTGAAAAGATTTACATTTCGTGAATTGCAAGTGGCAACAGGGAATTTTAGTTCCAAGAATATTTTAGGACAAGGGGGATTTGGAGTGGTTTACAAAGGGTGTCTTGTAAATAAGACTTTGGTGGCTGTGAAAAGACTAAAAGACCCTAATCTCTCGGGTGAAGTGCAATTTCAGACTGAACTTGAGATGATAAGCTTGGCATTACATAGGAATCTTTTACGTCTTTATGGGTTTTGTTTGACTTCGGATGAAAGATTACTTGTTTACCCTTATATGCCTAATGGAAGTGTTGCAGATCGATTGAGAGGTATCTAACCTAATAATCCCTTTGTCTCTTGTTCACTTTCCATATTAAGATGTCAATTTTAACGACTTTGAAATCCAAAACTTTTTGTTTTACATTCTTGACACCTTTGTGAAAGTTATATTGCATCTCATATGGTTTAATGTGGTCACCTTTTTTGTACAAAATGAAAATAACTTTTTTATAAACTTGATGTATAGAACTTGTGTATTTGACTCTTAAAAGTCAACTGTAAGGAAAAAAGGGAGTAAAACATAAAGTTGTATCTCGTCTTTTAATGATTTTCCTTGATTTTCTGTTTTTCGATGAGAAACCTAATAAGTTGGGAATTCGAAACTAATAAGATTCTTTATTTATCTTTCTCAATGTCTTTAAGCTAAAATTGGGATGTTTTTTAGGTTTTTGATGAAACTCAATAATGAAAAGTTGTAAATTTGACTCTCAAAAGTCAACTGTCAGAGAAAAGAGTAAAAGCATAGTTATTTTCGTTATATATTTCAAGTTCTTTTAATTTTCGTCATTAAAATCGCAATTGATAACTATTGTCGAGCAATTTTTCTTCATAAAGCTGTTTACAAAATTGTTTGTCCAAAGCGTATTGTATTGTTGTCGATCTCTCAAATGATTTATAAACATGGATTTAGTCCTTTCTTATACGTTTTTTACTAAATTTCATAAACTTCGATCTACAGACTGTGGTCATGAAAGGCCAATTTTGGATTGGAGTCGACGGATGCATATTGCACTTGGAGCTGCAAGGGGACTTGTGTATTTACATGAACAATGTAATCCGAAGATAATCCATAGAGATGTAAAAGCTGCAAATATTTTGTTAGATGAGAATTTTGAAGCCGTTGTTGGTGATTTTGGTCTCGCTAAGTTGTTAGATCCCCGCGATTCACACGTCACAACTGCTGTTCGTGGTACTGTGGGCCACATCGCACCGGAATATCTCTCCACTGGACAATCTTCGGAAAAAACAGATGTTTTTGGATTTGGGATTCTTTTGTTGGAACTTATAACGGGTCAAAAGGCATTAGATGCAGGAAATGGTCAACTTCAAAAGGGAATGATTCTTGATTTGGTATGCAATCTCCTCTTCTATTATATTTTTTACTCATTAAGCTATTATTTCTTTATTTATTTTGATTAAGATGCTGAACTATTATTATCATTCTCATAAAAAACTTGGTTTATTTGACTTTTATAGGTTAGAACTTTATATGAAGAAAAACGACTACAAGTATTAATAGATCGAGATCTTCATGGTTGTTATGACAAAGAAGAGCTCAATGAGGCTGTAAAACTTGCTCTTATTTGCACTATTGCACAACCAAATTCTAGACCAAAAATGTCACAAGTTATGAAGGTTCTAGAAGGTATCACGGGTCAACCGGTCAATTTGGAAGACACACAAACGGGACCCACACAACAATGTGAGGGAACGAGTTTTAGCTTTTTCAAAAATCATAGTGATGCTCATGAAGGGTCTTCGTTTATAATTGAAGCAATGGAGCTATCGGGACCTAGGTGACGGATTTTGAATTAGTTGTGGTGTAATTGTGAATATTTAAAGTTTAGGGGTTCTGGCTTTAGAAAGTTTTTGTAAAGAGATGTAGCCATAGGTTTTGTAGTCAAGGATGATGACATGGCTTAGACATTTTGAGTACCTATATGAAATATTGTAGGATTTTGAAAATTTGTACTTGGTATATATATGTTTAGTTCTTGGAGTTATTCGGAAATTTACATTTACCCCTTTCACTTGTATTTATGTCATTAAGGTTATTGAGTTTTCTTTGTTGCTGTTACTATACTTTGCAAAAAGTAAGGGGTTGTTTGTTTTTTTTGTGAAGAGTTGCGCAACCACTTTTGTCTGCGCCGCACAGACAATGCGCAGACGTATGCCTTCGCAGAGTGTTTGTTTTTTGGAAGTGCGCAGATCAAAAAACGTCTGCACGAGGTCTTCCTGGCGCAGATTTGGGCCACTGTCTTCAAAGGTCTTCAGACATCATTTTAACTAAAAAAAAAAAAAAACCACCTGTTTTTTTTTCTTTCTTTTTTTTGCTGAAAATGCATTTTTAATCTTTATGACATGAAATTAAGTTTGAAAAATTAATTTATTTCAACAGTTGCAGATGTTAAAAACAAACAGTTTTTTTATTGCAGACTGCAGATATTTGGTCCACCTCTTCTGCCGTAGAAGCTTGCAGATGTGATCCGCAGACTGCAGACATTTTGCCTTCAAAAAAACAAATAGCACCTAAGTGATTGGATCATAGTATTTATCAGATGATGAAGATTTCTTGAATTGTTCTAGATATAACAAATGAACCCAAATGAACTTGAGTTGTGAAGTTAAAGTTTTAACTACATTTTATAGCATAGGAGTCTCTTTGATGCAAACTTGAACTTAATTCAAATGCCTGCATAACTTGAAAATATCCGTCAACACTATGCTTGCTAGTCATCAAACAAGTTTGATATGAGGTTTAAAGAAAAATCTATCAAAACTATGTTTGATAAACAAGTTCAATTTTAACTTGGCTCAATTTGATAAGAATAAACACAACTTGATTAATTACTTAATATTTAACACATATATGCTAGTCCATCATATTTTCTTTTACATTTTACACTTTTTCCACTAATACATTCCATTTTAATTCATATAGGGTTGATGTTTTATATATAGAGATCTTATGCAAGGATAACGCTAAGATAACTGTTATTTAAAATTAAAAAAAAAAAATAACATCTTTTGAATTTTACTTCTGCTAAAGATCTTCTACAGAACCAGTCTCTCAACTTTATATTGGTGCTATCGACAATCCTACCTTCCTCTCACCCTATTAGTATGGGGTTGGGTTAATGCTGATATTGAGGAAAAACAATAACTTTTTTGTAGTATAGTTGCTTCAAACGCAGTGATAAAAAATACCATTTATCATTTTATTAAACATAATATAATTATTTAAAAACGTTACGAAAACTAGTCATAAATCCGTTGTAGTCTAGTTGGTTAGGATACTCGGCTCTCACCCGAGAGACCCGGGTTCAAGTCCCGGCAACGGAATTACTTTTTGCAAGTCCTCTAATTTCAGGGGCAAAAATGTCATTTTGTTTTCAACATTCTGTGGAACGAAACCCTAACAGGCCTTAAGTTTCTAATAAAAACCCTTTTCATCTCCCTTCGCCCTCATTTCTGCTCTTACATCGACACCCCTGCGCCGCCGCACTCTTCCGCAACTACAATGGTAAAACGTCCTTTCAAACGCCGGTTTATATTTTTTTTTGTTAGTTATGATATGATCCGAACTCTTTTTTGTTCATATGATAATTACGTTGAATGAAATGTGTTTTAGGCGTCAGAGAGGAAGCTAGCTAATCCAATGAGGGAGATTAAGGTTCAGAAACTGGTTCTGAACATCTCCGTTGGTGAAAGTGGTGATCGTCTCACTCGTGCTGCTAAGGTCGAATGCTTCTCCCAATCTCTCTGTCTAAATCTGTTCGTATTCTCGTTGCTGTAATCGTTTACTGATTTAGTTCTTATTTTTCGTGATTAGGTTTTGGAGCAACTCAGTGGCCAATCCCCCGTCTTTTCCAAGGGTAAGCTATACTTTATCATCTCTCCATTGTATACGTTTTGGCTCCAAAAAAGACCTTTTGTTCATCCCACTAGTTGTGCGTTTGCCATTTTATGTTCAATTTTACAAGAAACTGACAATAGAAGCACCACAATAACATTGTTTTAGTTACAATCAACATACTTTTGTAGACTGAACCTTCGTTTTAATCCGTTCGCTTTTGTCAAATTAAAGGAGCAACCTTTTTTGCATCAGAAATGAAATAAGGAATACATAATGTTGCTTTGATTGTTTCATGATTCAGTCACTTATTTGCAATCATAGACTTGGATTTGATTTCTTGCGTTCATGATTTTGGTGTTTATGATACAGCAAGGTACACTGTGAGGTCTTTTGGGATCAGGCGTAATGAAAAGATTGCTTGCTATGTAACTGTTAGAGGAGACAAAGCAATGCAGCTATTGGAGAGTGGATTGAAGGTTAAGGAATATGAACTGTTGAGGCGCAATTTCAGTGACACTGGTTGCTTTGGATTTGGTATCCAGGAGCACATTGATCTTGGTATCAAGTAAGTCATTGTTTGAAATTCCCTTTTCATAAAGAATGTACATGTCAATTTTGAACCCTTTATTTTGTGAAATTGCAGATACGATCCTTCAACTGGAATCTATGGAATGGATTTCTTTGTGGTTCTTGAAAGGCCAGGATACCGTGTGGGAAGACGCCGTAGGTGCAAGGCGCGTGTTGGGATCCAACACAGAGTTACAAAGGATGATGCAATGAAGTGGTTTCAGGTTAAGTATGAAGGAGTTATCCTCAACAAATCCCAACAAATTGGAGCATAAGAGATTTTCTTATATCCATTTTGTCTTTTTTCAATCTGACTAGTTATGGTGTTGTTTTTTATTTGTTTATGTTATGGTAGTGGGTGTTTTAGGCAGGAGGTTATGCAATTCCCTTCCGTTTTGCTCAAATGTTTTCTATAAGATTCTTGAGATAATGTTTTTGTTTTGGTATCATTTACAGAAAATTTGCACTGTTTGACAGTTTTTCCATTTGAAAATTTGTAAACAAAAGGTCCAAAATAGTTTTAGTCTTGGAGCTCTTGGTAATGATGCTAATGTTTGGAACTTAGTTAAGTACATTAAAGGTTAACATGGTGATCAAGGTGTATATTGAACATGAAAATCAACCTTGTTAACATATTTCATGTCTCCAAATGATAAGCCCATAATGGTCATTGAAGAATTAACAAAAGTTTTTGATAAACTCTTATAAGAACAAAAATATATGAAAGATATCAAGACAATTGTCACCATCATTTAAAAGAAGAATCCATAAACCAAAAGAGGATAGGGAGTCACTTAATATTAGTGGACGAGGGCATGAAGGAGTTCAAATGGAAAATGTTACATTGAATGATGTGCCTACTGCCTAACAACCTAGTGGTTTGTGAAACGGGGGATTGTCATGAGAAGGAAGTAGAACACTGAAATATTGATGCAAATGGTTATGTACTAATAGATATTTTTCAAAAAAGTGATAAAGTAGAATGGGAGCTTGATCCTCAAATCGAAAAAGAATTGCTACAAGAATTCGAGTTTGATCCTTTTTTGGAAATAAAGACTGATAACAAGACAACACATCATAGTACAGTGAATAATGATGAAGAAGAAGAGTAAGAAGAGTATAGTTATATGATTTTCTTGTGTATGAAGAGAACGAAGTAGATGACATGGTCGATTTTAGAATAAGTATTGATAAAGTTCATAGGGAATGGTTGGAACATTGTAACCTACAATGTCTGAGTTTTATAAAACCCTTGTTATGATTGCTGTTTTTGGATGCTGACTATTTAGATTTGTAATTTGGGTTACACTTAAACATGGCATGCTTGTTGTGGTAATACATATGGTTGTGGTTAGACTGGAGGGTGTGGTGCCACCGAAACTGCACTCCCTCCCCTGCCACATAAGCGTCATGTCATTTTTTACCACTCAAGTGTCGTTTCTTGCCACACCAAGGGAGTGGTGCCAGACAATTTTTTTTAAACTATTTTAATTTAATAAAACTTCTATTTAATAAAAAACATAATTTTTCATTACTTGAAAATTAAAAAAAAAAACATTACACTGCTTTACAAAAAAAAAAAAAAAAAACACGAAAACCACACACATGACATTTAAATAATCCTAGAAACTTAAAAACACAAATAAAATAACTAAAGCAAACTACATAAAGTTGTTCTCCGAGAACTAGTATTCGGGATCATCCGGTGGATCCAAATTAAGGTTAATGTTTTGAACCCTGCAAATGTGTTCCACCAAGTCATTGCGAAGACTGTGAAATGTTTCAGTGCAATGTATATCTGTTCTCCTGTTTATATACTCTTCGCCACCAATTTCTATTGGTTGTGTCTGTGGTATGGTTTGTTCCTCCTCAAACGCACATATCACTCTTCCTTCGTCTTCAATAATCATGTTATGCAATATAAGACATGTATACTTGATTTCTTGAAGTTTTTCCTCGCCTAAATAAGTTGCTGGTTTTTTCAATATGAACCACCGTTTCTTCAGAGCTCCAAAATCACGCTCAACATCCATCCTAGCTCTTTCTTGAGCTCTCTTGAATTTCTTTCGTCTAGAACCATATGGAGCTGTAAACAATTTAACAAACACAACATACTCAGGATAGATTCCATCGACCAGATAATAACCATACTTATATGACATTCCACACACTTGAAAGAAGAATCTGGTGCAGATCCATCGCATATGTTGTTAAATATTGGTGAACGATTAAGAACGTTGATGTCGTTAATCGAACCAGGAAAACCAAAACAAACATGCCAAATCCACATATCTTGTGATGCAACTGCTTCAAGTATGACCGTTGGGTGACCATGATCACCTCGGGTAAATTGCCCATGATATGATGTAGGATAATTTTCCCATGCCCAATGGAGACAATCTAAGCTTCCTAGCATTCCAGGAAACCCATGCACAGTAGCATGATGAGCTTGCAATTGCAGGATGTCATTACGTGTAGGCTTACGTAAGTATTTTGGACCATAAAACTGAATCACAGTTTTGCAGAAAAAATGGAGACTATCTCGTGTGATCCTAGCAGACATCCTAAAACTTTTGTCTAACGCATCAGACAGAATGCCATATGCTAACTGACGAAGTGTGGCCGTGCATTTTTGTAAGGGAGTGAAACCGGGTGTACCTCTAGCATCGTAGCGTTGTTGGAAAAAATTGCACTCCCTCGTTACATGTTCAACTATACGTTCGAATAAACATTTGAGCATTCTGAAGTGCCTACGAAAATAATACCCTTGATAAGTGGCATTCTCTGCCAAATAGTATTGCACCAAACGTTGGTTTGCTTCTTCACGATTTATGCAAATATATCTTCGTGTTCTCCGTAGAGAACTTGTAGCTGCGTTGTTACATACAACGTTGTATGTTTGTTCCGCCATTTGAACACACACAATAGCGGTATCAAAAATAGTCTGAAATTCTTCAGACGATGAAGAAGATGATATTTTTGAGAGAGTGGTGATTTTTAAATTTTTTTTTTTGAGAGAAAGAAGAGATTGCGTTGTGAAAAATGAAATTAAGTTGATATGTATATATAGGAAAGAAAAAGCAAAAAAAAAAAAATACCCAACAACCCAACCCATTCAACGGTCAAAGCATCACCCACCAATCACCAAACACGATACTAGAGGACCGCACTGCGGCCAAGACCGCACCAGATTGCGGCCTGGGGCGGTGTTCTCGGTTGACGTGGCACAAACCGCGGTCCCAGACCGCGCCCACACCTTTCAGCCTTATAACATTCAATATTTTGCATTTGGCGGTTTTTTATAACATGCATATGTTGTTAACGGTGTTGGCGTTGAACATAATGTCATATGTTTTTCTTTTTCATATGTTGTTGAACATATATATTATGGTAATGGTGTTTACATATTTCCAAACAATAGATTACAAGTTTCACATTATCATCATCATGATGTATGTATGTGTATGTATTAATTATGGTAGTGGTCTATAACATTGTCATTATTATCTATCAACATTACCTTATTATGTATATACTAGATTATGATCTACGTTAAACGCAAGGGAACAAATAAAAAAAATACAAATATATATATATATATATATATATATATATATATATATATATATATATATATATGTTCCAGAATAATTATAAAAAAAATTAGGGCTATTGGTATTATTATAATTTATAAAAATACACTGAAATCGATGTGTGTGTGTGTGTGTGTATATATATATATATATATATATATATATATATATATATATATAATCGTTGAAGGATCTCTTTGTAGACAACATTTTTTGTTTTATTATTTAAACGACCTTCATCGTCACGTATGACTACATTCAAATCTTTTTTACTTGTGACATCAAAAACAATTACATATAGCTGGCCATGTGTGAAAACGGGTCTACACAAGTATAATCCAATATTTAACAATATACTTTCAAAATACATTGTTATTTTATGGTTATATTAATAAATTTAGTATAAGCTGACTTTAAATAATATTCATTATTCTCTCTTTTTAAACAAGTTACATATGAAACACAATAAATAGAGCATGATCATAAAAGTCTAACTCTCAATACGAACAAATAGGATATCTATCTAAACAAAGACAAGAACCAAATAAACCTTGCTAATCTAATGATCGGATAATCACCAAATCCTTTACTCACCCTCAAGTTGACACATGGAGATTTCGAATGTTCAACTTGACAAGTAATGACTGTAACCTGTCGGTACCAAGAGGCTTGGTAAAAAAATCCGCCAGCTGAGCTTGACTAGTGACACAAACGTGAACTATTTATTTAGACTCCACTCTCTCCCGAACGAAAAAACAATCCATTTCAACGTGTTTAGTGCATTTATGAAACACCGAGTTATGTGCAATATGACGAGCATACTCATTATCGCACAAGAGAGGTGTGAGCTTATCAATGCGAACTCCATGTTCAGAAAGCAACCATCGAACCCATAATATTTCATTGACTGCAGTCGCCATGGCACAATACTCTGCTACTGCGGAAGACTGGGACACCACTGATTGCTTGCGAGATTTCCATGACACCGGTGCACCACCCAACATTAAAAGATAACCAATTCTAGAACGCCTTGAGAAGGAACAACCTAACCAGTCGGAGTCATTGTAAGCAATCAACTCCGGCTGACCTTCCTTTGGAAGAAGAATCCCTTACCCTAAAGTAGTTTTAAGATAACGCAAAACCCTCAAAGCTGCATTCCAATGATTTTGACGAGGATCAAATACGAATTGGCTTAAAACATTAACTGAATATGTAATATCCAGCCGGGTTGCTTGCAAATAAAGTAGTCTTCCAACCAATCGCCTATACTAATTAGCATCAAATTTCTCTTCTTTATCACTTTTGTTTAGTTTGAGATTTTGTTCCATTGGGAACTTGCTTAGACGACACCCAAGCATACCAACATAATCTAGAATGCCAATGGTGTACTTCCGTTGACTAAGTACTAGACGTTCTTGTATGCATGACACTTCGATCCCCAAGAAATACGTGAGACCGACAAGGTCTTTGATGCTGGATTGAGTATGGAGACTCAATTTGGTACTCTCAATCTTCTTAGAATCATTACCTACAATGATCACATCATCAACATATATCAAGGCTGCCACAAACACTTCTTTATTTTGATAAATAAACAATGAGTGATCCGCATGTGATTGATGGAAATCAAGTTCTCGCAACACTGAGGCGAACTTGTGATTCCAGTTCCTACTAGCCTGCTTCAAGCCATAAAACGATTTCTTCAAGTTGTAAACTTGCGTGTCACCTTTTTTTCCAAAACCTTGAGGAATCTTCTTGTACACATCTTCTTCATGGTCACCATGTAAGAATGCATTATTCATGTCTAACTAACGTATGATCTAATTATTTTTGACCGCCATGGTTAGTAAAATTTTGACAGTGATGAGTTTAGCAATAGGGGCGAAAGTGTCATGATCGTCCACACCTTCAATTTGTGTGTATCCTTTCGCGACAAGCCTTGCTTTGTAGCGTTCTATCTCTTCGTTTGGTTTGAACTTG